GGAGCAGCGGAAATGAAGGGAACTCTAGGGTACTTACACATGAAAAATATTTTATTTTGCAAAAGAGTGTCATGTGCTTGGACTTACACTTTTGATGAATGGGATTATGTAAGATGTACTGCCTGGAGTCAAAATACCTGTCATGTAATAAAAACAGAACATTTAGATCTTCCCAGTATGCTCATAGAATAAGCAATCTTTTGGCTATAGCAAAAGATCCCTGAAAATCAAATGTTATTTTATTTTTTAGCTATTATTTTTTCCCTTGTTTGTATAAAAAAAGGAGAAATTAAATGTCAAACTAGTTCTCTTGCAAACTATTCCTTTGGCTTTGCCAATAAAGAAATGATATAATTTTTTCCAGAATTGCACTTGTTTGATTCTGTATCATGGGGTGGGGGTGGGGGAAACAAGAATGTGCTAAATGGCCTATCATTTTGGAATGCTGTTTTTCTTTTAAAACTGCACAATTTAAATTTACTAAAGTTACAGCACACTTTTGGCATGAAGCCCCTGAACTAATTATGTGGTGTTTAATGGTAAAGCCGAGTGGTGTATACTTACATGCCATTTGTAAAGATCATTTCAAGTGGGTGTGAGCTTTTTTCCCCTTTTCTGTGAACATGTTGAGATTCATAACTTCATTTCAGAAAGATACTTTGAATATCAATCCATTGCCCCCAGGCTCCCCAGTCACAGCTGTTTCTTTAGCAAACACAGACACTTTGATGTGGCAATTCTCATTTTATTCTGCTGAGATCTTTTCCCCAACATTTGAAGTGATTACTTATGGTTAAAATTTTCTGTCAAATAGCTTTAAAAGTGTTAAACTATCTTGGCCGTTACAATGGAGAACTTAGGTCCATCATTCATTCCTTTTCATGTTTATTCTCAGAATTCTCAGAATATAAACATTAATTTTCACAAGCAGTTAATAATTTCAGATAATATTTCTTAATTAGTTTTAGTTTTATCAGGCATTATATATATTTATATTGATTTTCAAGTTGGGTATATTTTTATGCCTAATAGCTGAGGGTTGAAAACAGTAGTGACTGGATTCTTTTATTTCTCATTTTGAGTCCTTTGCATTTTAATATTCAATTGAATCAGTTTTATAGCATAATAATTAATGCAGCCTGATGTTATTTTAAACTCTAAAAGCTTTAATTTTACTATTTGTCTATTGATCTTAAGTGTCTACTCTGTAACCAAGAATGGCGATGCCATAAGACTGAGTAGTGCACCGCTTCACTGTACCTTGAATTTCATAGTCTGGCCCAGTGGAGGTTAACAATGGAAACAGCTGTACTGTGGACATCTTGTATATATTTTCTTCATCATTAAATAGCTACCATGTGAGGTAGTCCTCATATGGTACCAGATGAACACTTTCTCAGTGTTCTCTGGCATGTCTAATATTCAGATTCATGTGTATATTTCTCTGCTTTTTCCATGTACAGCTTAATATACCTCGTCATCCATGATTTGAGCAAATCAGAGTATTGAAACATTCAACTTCCTATCTGTCCCTTTCCTCCAAACTCTGTAGGATGTGTCAAGATAGAAATTTGCAAAAGTGAAGGTAGTTAATTTCATGAACAATCATATTTGCTTCATCTCTCTTTGCATTTCTCTGAAAGCAGTTTTTCCACTTCTCAATTGGGTTTGTACTCTATGTATAGACTTGCTGACTAATGTTTTTAAATGTTAATTTTAATGCAAACATGGGTCTTGGGAATGGAACGCTCCCTAGAATGTGGATGACAAAACTCCATTCTACATACTTGGGACGTGGTATTAGCTCAGCAAGTTGGCTCAATACAATTGGCTGCAACAATGGTCTCAAGCACAGCCAGGATTGTGAGGTGGCGCAGCACTGGACAGGGCCTTCCTCTGTGTCAGAAAAGGTTGCCATGTCTCAGAACCAACCAAAAGGCACCTAAGCCAATAATATTGATTTCTACTTTTTACTTTTGGAGTTCTTGCAATGTTTTGCCCACGTTGCCCAGGGCAACATTTCAAGTTATTGTTTTTTCTTCAACATATTCTTTCACTTCTTTGGAAAATGCATTGTTGCAGATGCAGTTAGGTTGAAATTTAGCACCCTATCATTTGATCTCTCTAATGATCCATTTAAATTTGTTCTAGTTTTTAGTATGTTCTGCTTTCTTCTCAATTGAGCTTTTTATCTGTTTTACTTTGTTATTTTTGTTAGTTTTTGTTTGTAGATATTTTTCTGTACATAATATCCAGGATAGGTAAATCTCCTGAGACAGTAACTGGATTAATGGCTCCTTGAGCCATGGTGGTGTAATGGTTGCACATTGGGCTGTAATCTTTAAGGCTGACAGTTCAAAACCACCAGATTCTCTCTGTGGGAGAAAAATGGGACTTTCTATTCCCATAAATACCAGCTCAGTCCTATAATTTACTTCCATAAATACAGTTAAAGACTCCAAAATTCACAAGGATAGTTCTATCCTGTCCTGTAGGGTCACTATGCATTAGTATTGACTCGATGGCACCTACTTCAGGTTTTGAGAATATGGCAGGGAAGGATAGAGGAGAATGGGGAGCTAATAATGATAAGCACAAAGTCAACCAACAGCTTTTGAACTATTTATAGGCTTTTCTAATTTTTTTCATTGGTTCTTTGTCGTTATTTTGTTATCTTTTGTCTCTCTGTTTTGCTCTGTCTTGCTTTTGTGCATATTATTATCTCTGCAAGTCTATCTAGATAAGATAGGCTAGATAAACAATCTGGAGGAAAAACAATGGGACCAATGGTTGGGGGGGGTGTGCATGGAAGAATGGGAGGTAGGGGAAAGGAAGTGGTATTAACAATCTCAGGGACAAGGGAACTACAAGTGGTCCAAAAACAGTGGCGAGGAGGGTGTAAGAGGCCTGGTAAGGTTTGATCAAGGGCAAGGTAACTGAGAGGAATTCCTTAAACCCAAATGAAGGCTAAGCATGATAGTGGGACAAGAGGAAATTGAAAGGAAATAGAGGAAAGAACTAAGAGGCAAAAGGCATTTACAGAGGTCTAAATACAGGCATGTACATATGCAAATATATTTATATATAAGATGAGGAATAGATCTATATGCATATATTTATAGGGTTAGTATTAAGGTTGCAGATGGACATTGGACTTCCACTCAAGTACTCCTTCCATGCAAGAACACTTAATTATTTTAAAATGGCATTCCATGATGCTCACCTTCCCAACATGATCACTGAAGACAAATCAAGTGCATAAGCAAATGTGGTGAAAAAAGCTGATGGTGCCCAGCTATCAAAAGATATAGTGTCTGGGTTCCTAAAGGCTTGCACGTAAATAAGCGGCCATCTAGCTCAGATGCAACAAAGCACACAAGGAAGAAGCGCACCAGCCTGTGTGATAACAGGGTGTCGGAGGGATCAGGTATCAGGCATCAAAGAACAAAAAAATCATATGGTTGAAAATGAGGGTCAGTGTGGAGTGAAGAACCAAAGCCCATTTGTAGACAACTGGACATCCCCTTACAGAAGAGCTGTGGGGAGGAGACAAGCCAGCCAGGGTGCAGTGTAACAATGATGAAAATACAACTTTCCTCTAATTCTCAAATGCTTCTTTCCCCCGCAATATCATGATCCCAATTCTACCTTACATATCTGGCTAGACTAGAGGATGTACACTGGTACAGATAGGAACTGGAAACACAGGGAATCCAGGACAGATGAAACCTTCAGGACCAGTGGTGAGAGTAATGATACAAGGAGGGTGGAGGGAAGGTGGGGTAGTAGGAGGGAACCGATCTAAAGGATCTACATAAAACCCCCTCCCTGGCACACAGACAACAGAAAAGTGGGTGAAGGGAGATGTTGGACAGTGTAAGATATGACAAAATAACAAAAATTTATAAAATATCAAGGGTTCATGAGGAAGGGGAGAACAGGGAGGGAGAGGAAAAAATGAGGAGTTGATACCAAGGGCTCAAGTAGAAAGCAGATATTTTGAGAATGATGATGGCAACGAATGTACAAATATGCTTAACACAATGGATGGATGTATGGATTGTGATAAGAGTTGTATGAGCCCCCAATAAAATGATTTTTAAAAATGAAGAAAATGTTTAAAAGCTGATTATGATTATGATTGTTCAACTCTTGATGAGCTTGGACTATTGAATTGTATGATATGCCAATTATATGTAAATAAAACTGTTGAAAAAATGCTCTTTGGTCAACTAATGATATATTATCATCTGTAGCTTTATGACATAAATTATTCTAGACAATGGGTGATTTTTAAAATAATAATTAATTTGATTCTTGCCTTCACTTGACATTTTCCAAATTGGTTCAAAGAATGTTAATTGATCCCCTCACTCTAAATACGTTTGTGGGCAATTCTCCATGTGATATTCTCTTCTTAGAAATTCACTTTATAGAAGAACAAGTTAAGTTTTAGAGTGGTTGACTCTCTTTAACCTGTGATTTAGAAATTTACATATCCAGAGGAATCTTTTTAGGAGAACATATACCAATATTTATAGTATTTCAGGATACTGTTTATAAAATAGTTATGTGACTCATTGACCTCTATGGAATTTTGATGATCTTAAACCCCATTCCTTAGAAAATCAGAATGAGAAAGTAAAATATAGTTATTTACTACAATTCTGAAACGTTTTAACTCTCAGAGAACTGGACTATTATGTCAAGTGATGGGAGTATAAATTTTATCTCTGTGTGTACTATATAAAAATTAATGTAAAGGTAGAGAAACATTTATATACATTCATAGATAGAAAGTAGAAATAATTGTTATTCTCATATTTTTTAATTAAAATATATTTGCATAAAACTTGTGAATCATGCCCCTAAAATAATGATGTTATGTCTATTTATTTTAGAAAGCACTCATTCTTTTTATTTTAAAAAGTCACAAAAAAATAACAAATATAAACGGTGAAAAATTTGCAAGTGCATTTCAAGTGTTAATACCCTAAAATTATATCTGAAATATGATACAGTAATGTAACATGTTAGCACTTGTTTTATTTTTAGCATACCTTGTAACATATATAAGAAATGATAAGAGAATATAAGTGCTTGTGGCCTACCTATTTCCTGTAACACGATCCTATTGTTATGAAATCTTTGATTTATTTCATTATTGTATTACTCAGTTTTGAGCTAAATATCTATTCTTGAGCAAAAGCTACTTAGAAAGTTGCATTTATTTCATTATGATAATGATAAAACAATATTTTGTTAAACATTTTTCCTCATTCCTTTCTACCTCCTGCTTCATTACTGAATTTATACTGTGAATAGAGTATCTACATAAGTACTGTTGAAGAAACGCATATATCCTTTTTATTGTGTAACTGCAGTTAAATTTCTTGTTAATAAATTGAGAAAAAAGTAAAGCATACCACTTTGAGTTGACAATAACTCTGTGTCCATACTATGAATTAAAATACAGCCAATCACAAGAGACTATGCTCGGTGTCATTGGCGCAAGCATGTTGCCATTGGGAAGAGGCTAGAATCAAAGAAGCTGCACAACTGAGGAGAGTGGTAAAGAGCAGTTGAAAATGTGATTTTTTTTCTGAGCACACGAATCATAACGAATTTCACGTCAGGACTCGTAACTCATTGAACCAATCATAGATCGCAGATGTGCTTAAACAATGAGAGCCTGAAGGAGACTGAAGCAGTTCATTAAATCCATGGGGGTTGGGGGTTCGATTTCATTCCCATCCAGACGGAGGTAGTTAAGACGAGGTCCGTAACTGAACAAATCTCGTTCTCCAGGCACGGAAGGAGGGGGCGGACAAATTACAGAGACATTCACACCTGCAGAAACAAAGATGACATAAGCAAGTGACGTGAAATATAAGAAAACCTAGAATGCATTGACCAAGAAATTATACGACTATCCCAGGAAGACCTGGGAGATTTTCTGGGAGACTAAAAACTGGAAAAGCCAGTTTTGCTATAGGTTGAACATATCAGTTTTATATAATGATCATGTAAAACATACAACAGGTACAGTAAACTCACTGTACACTTGGCTATACTTAGTACAGGATAATGAAAAGAAATGTTAGGAGCTATGATGGAATCAAAGGTAAGTCCTATTTATCTCTTTCTAAGCTTGCAAACTGGAAGCGATTCTTCACTGTACATCAGCATTTTGGTGAGGCTTCCTGTACTTTGCTTTCATCTTGTTCTAATCTCACAATTCTGTTAGAATTCATGATGAACTGACAAACATTTGCTGTTTCCATTTAGAAGGTAAGGTTAACCCATCTCCATTTGAAGGGCAGCTAAAAGTAACTAGCCAACATGGACAGGCAACATAAATCGGAAACATCCTGTACTCCCCTCTCCTTCTGTTCTAATCTCAATTTTGTTAGACTTCATGATGGCCTAACAGACTATTAGTGCTTTCTTTTAGGAGATAATACCCAGTTTCCCTGAAAATAAGACAGTGTCATATTAATGTTTGCTCCCAAAGATGTGCTAGGTCTTATTTTCAGGGGATGTCTTATTTTTCCATCAAGAAGAATAAGGTACACATTTATTGTTTTATTAAAAGAGACCTCACACTTCCTGTCTGCTCCAGCTGCACTGTGGCCAACAGTGAGCTGCACGGCGGCGCTCAGCGCTATGGTCCAGAGCCCAGAGTTACGGTAGCTTCAGATGGCCTTATTTTCGGGGGGATGCCTTATATTTCAGCGAGAGGCAAAACTGTAAGTAGGTCTTATTTGGGGGGATGTCTTACTTTTGGGGAAACAGGGTGGTAACCCATCTCCATCTGAAAAGCAGAAAGTCAGCTAACAATACTTGCAGCTGGAATGTGGATACGCCCATGTAAGCAAAAATGATCTGAGCACCAGAGAATCTACTCACAGGCCAGACTACTCCAGAAGACCCTGCCTGCAAGACCTGCTTATCAACTATCTCCTTACCTGTTGCTTCAGGAAGTGGATTTTTATTTTTATCTGTGTTTTTAGGTACCAGGAGTCAATACATTTTCTCACTCTCCCTCTGTCCCTGCCTGGTGAACTGGCTTACTTGGGACAGGCGGCCCACATCACTTATTTTGCATGAACACAAAATGTTTGCAGAGATCATTGTACAGTGAGACAGTATTTAAAGCAGGAGAGAAAGGCAAGAGCATTGGGTGCTGGTGGCACACCTGGTTGAGTGCTGGCTACTTGTTGAAAAGTCAGCAACTCCAACCCACGCAGGGGTGCCTAGGAAGATAGGTCTAGTAATCTTCTGAAAGAAGACTCATGGCTTTGAATCCTCTATGGAGTAGTTCTACTCTGCACACCTGGGGTCTTATTAGTTGGAATCACCTGTATGTCAACTAAAGCTAGCAGAAATAGTGAGTAAGTGCATGGGAGGAGAGAGGAAAGATTGGTGAACAATGGGACAGATGAATGTAGAACAGAAGGGAGAATAAATAGTAAATGGGTAGAACAGCAACCTCATAGATCAGAAAATACTTGAACATTACCTTAAAACTTGCACAATTTCAAATCACCGGGGTACGATGCCAATTTTTTTCAAAAGTACAATTAACATATGTTATATTTTCAAAAAGCAACCTTGAATCTTTATACTTAAGTGTACTTAATTGGAGAGGAAACATTTACCAAGAATTGAATTACAAATAACTCAGCCAGGAAGCTTCCCATCAGCCTTTTCAGATGGCTAAAATGTGAGAAATCACACATGTGCCTTGGATCAGAGCCTTTGGCACCAATGGCTGTGCTGAGAGTTAGGAGTGTTCGGGAGAGAAGGCCAATTAAATTGGCAAGCTTCAGGGAAATGTGCATGTTCTCTAGCCAACCAAGGTCAGGCTGAAATAGCTGATTTTAACTGTGGAGTTTCAGTCCTTTGTTGAACTATTTCCGGCAAGAAATCCTCCCTTATTAGGTACATTTACCTTAGAGGAAGGCTCTTCTCTATGTCTTACTTGGTCATGTGTGTTTGTTTTGTATTGAATGCTTTCTTGTTTACCAACACAAAAAATAACAAACCGATTGCTATGGAGTCAATTCCAACTCAAAGCAACCCTGCAGAGCAGAATGGAACTGCCCTTTTGGGTTTCCAAGACTTGACACTTTACAGGTGCCTCCTGACTCATCTTTCTACCATGAAGTGACTGCCGAGTTTGAACGGCTGCTTTTCCATCAGCAGCTTAATGTGGAACAAAATACGCCACCATGATTCCCAACTCACTGCCATCCGGTGGACTCACAGTGACCCTGTAAGACAAAGCAGAGCTTCTCTTTTGGCTTTTCTGACTCTGTAAATCTTTACAGAAAAAGGAACCTTCATCTTTCTCAGCCCAAGAGTCTGATGCCTTTGAACTGTTGATTTTATGGTTATCAACTCAACTCATAACCCACTATGACACCAGGGTTGAATAGCTCTGATCTGAAACTATTTTGTGAGTTCAACGTCATAAAAATACTTCCTCATAGTAATATAAACGTTCTACACACACACACACACACACACTTCATCATTCTCGCTATCTGAACATTATGGAAGCAGTAGTCGAGAGTGCTGAAGTAATGTATACAAACTATTTCAAGAAAAAGAGGTAGAGTTGAGTACCAGTCTATTTCTCTTCCACTACTCGGGGTTATTAGTGAACTGAGAAGAACGTGCTCCTTTTCATGGGCCATTTTCTGCTTACCACCCTCATGTCCCATAATCGATGCAAGTCTGAATAAAAGAAATAACATAAACAAGTGCCTAAAATGTTAATTATATTTTTGAACTAATTATGGCATTTCTAAAAGAGCACCATGGAAGTAAGTCATTCAAATACATAAAATATTTGCCTAATTTGAGTCCTTTAAAGTCCAGAAGAAAAAAATCACCTTATTTCCATAATTTTAGATAAGAAATATTAGTTGTTCTATAAATTCTGATGACCCGTTATATAAACTGCATTCTATTGGAAGTAAACTATAATAGATTAGTGGGGAAAAGAACTAAGCCCTTAGTTACTATAACATTCTGTAAGCCAACAATACTAGGCATGGAATTGAGATTCAATGTTACTCATATTGGAATATTGAGATGCCCATGTTGATTTCAACATTAAGAATAAAATAAATCAATCCTCTTTACTGATGCTATGGCTGTTATTTTAATTATTATTATCATTTTTTATTACCTTATCGGTCAAAGTTTTCTAAAGTCCTGTATTATGGATATTAAGGAAAAATGTGTTGTGAATTTATGAGTGAAAAGACATAATCATTTAGGATTAACATGAGAAGCCCTTGCTCAGTGCTTGGCTATTCCCCTCACTCTTTAACTGTGGGCAAATATTGCCATCTAACTTAGCTTTAGTTGTGCTTTTTGTAGAAATTTTAGTGAGTTATGCGTTGGGTTACTAACCTCAAGATCAACAGTTTGAATCCACTGTCCATTCCTTATGAGAAAGATGAGGCTTTCTTCCTGTAAGGAAGTATAGTCTCCGAAGCCCACAGAGACGGTTCTCCCCTCCTCTATAGGGTCTATATGGATCAGAACCAACGATGGCAGTGGTTGCGTGAAGAGTATCATGAAGAATTCTGGTAAGGCTTAATAGTGCAGTCTTCTTCAAAGCGTCCTAGGAAGAGTGAAAGCAATACTATCTGGGAATTAACTGACTGGATCAGGGCCTAATGATTTGTGTCTTTACCAGTTCTCCAATTTGGACTCATTCATGGCAAAGTCAAAGAAAGAGTAAAATAGTAATATGTGAAAAAAAGACGCAAAACTCTCTAAAATGTGGGTGGACCAAGGATAGCGTCATCTTCTTCAGATGCCGTTATGTAATTATGTAAGTGCCTAACATACGTGTGTCGACCAGTCTGACTTCACTTTTGAGCAACCTCAATAGAAAATGCAAGAAGTAAAACTCAAAGTCAAGTAGGGCTTTACATGAACTTTGATATGGAATGTCTGTGAGGCTTTTGTTGTCATGCAAAGCGGCAATGTAGAAGTCAAGAACTTTTTACAAGAAAACATGCATACATGTAGGTTCATGTTTGCTGGGATACTACTTTATTCAGCTTAACAGATTCTTCTCCTAGCAAATCTTTTCTGTGGTATCATCTGCTTTTGACTAGAATTAATCAATTTCTCTCATTGCCATGGAAAAATAAATGCTGTGACAGCACCCTCTCCTTTTAGTTCCTGGATTTTTAATGTTCTTAGGAAAATAAAACAGAAAATCATGAAGAAGTGAGTAGCATCAAATGAAACAGTGGTACCTCTTTACCAGTGGTATGTTTATCTGGTTACTTTCTCAAAGGAAACTTTATTGAATAATAAGCAACATATGTTTCTGACAATTAGCTGTGTTGTTTTTTTATGAACTAGACTGAATATCACCTTATAAGTATACATTTTAAAGATGTTCAGGAGAAATCTCCCTAAGGATCAGCCTTTAAGAGTTTTGCTGAGGTTAAAGATACAGGAATTGGTTCCAGGCTAGGTCTAGTACCCTTATGGATGGATCAAGATATTGCCCATTTATATACCAGGTCAGCGTGCTCTCAAGGATAATTAAGAAGATGCTAGGTTTTCTTTAAGGTTTCCAGATTCTGCTTTCTACAAGCACTTCCTTCTTCGTGCTTGCCTCACTGGCACTGTGCATCCACTTCTCTTCCCCTGTGAAAACCCATTTTGGGGAAAATTTACTCCATCTAAAGAGATGACACCTAGCAAGGGAGTATATATATCGATTTTAACTGAGCAAAGCTAAAACTACTTCAATGGTTATCAAATCACAGTCCTCAAAGAAGCAGTATTAGTACCAGCTGGGAGCTTGTTAAAGCAACACTTATCCAGCCCTACTCCTGACCTACTCAATCAGAACTCTGGGGGCAGGTCCATCAATCTATGCACACCAAATACACAGCATTCACTAAAACCAAAGAGTATCATTTGGGGTGTTACAGCATCAGCTGTCGCCTAAGTTTGCAATCCAGGAATCATCTTAGTGTCACATCAATTCGCTTACTAATCACTAGTGTCGGTTACAAGCCTTAAATAGGGGAAAGGTAGAAGTAACATGACCTCCTCATTATAGTAAAACACGATAAATGTATTGCATGTTTCCAATAGAAAAACCGAACTCAGTACCACCGAGCCAACTCTATCTCATAGCAGACTGTCCCGTAGTCGCACTGTCCCTGTGGGTTTCTGAGACTGTAACTCTATGAATGTAGAAAGCCCCATCTTTCACCCACAGAGCAGCTGGTGGTTTCGAACTTCAAACTTTGCAGTGAGTAACTGAACAGGTAACCACTATGTCACCAGGGCTCCGATAGATAAAATGCGGGTACCAAAGACCTTTTCTTTTTCAGCCTTCAATTCAAAGACTTTGGCATGTTGATTCGTTAAGACCGTTAGTGAATAGACAACATTTAGTTCTGAAAATCAGAATTATATTTTTTTTAAAATTGTAGGGGCACGTTACTTAGGAAAAGCAAACAGAATAACTAAAACTACAACCTATGGTTGATATGTTCAAAGGCGCTGAAATAAACTCAATTACCATGAACTCAACCTGAGGATTACTTACTTTTGATTTTGTTATGATCGAGGTGCAGGTGCTGGAGGTGAGCACTGATGCGGGGAAACTTTGTGAGTCTGTTGTAAGACAGTTGAAGATCTAGAATGGATGAGACATCAAAACCACTTGAAGGGAGACCTACATCAGATAATTTATTGTGGTTTAGCCTCAGGAAGGCTACTTTAGGAATCACATTAAAATAATTGTCTGGTATTGCTTCAATGGAATTGTTGTCTAAAAACAGTTGCATTGTGTTGGCTGGTAATCTTGGTGGCATCTGCCTCAGGGCATTCTTGGCCATATTTAGCTGCATAAGGTTCTTGAGTCCCTTAAAGGTATCTCTTTGAAATGCATTATCTAAGAGTTTGTTGTGCTGCAGGTCTAGAAGGGTCAGGTTCTCTAGATTGCTGAAGGTCCCTTGAGGAATTCTGGATACCTTGTTTCTAGCGAGCTGTAATTGTTCTAAACTTCTTGGCAATGGAGAAGGCACCTCCTCTAGTTCATTATCTTCCAGAAATAAGAAAAGAAGCTTTTTCAATTGGCTCAGAGCTCCTTTTGCAATTCCATAATTGGTTATTTTGTTCTTGTTTAGGTTTATCCATCTAAGCTCGGTGGCATTCTCAAACGGTTTCTCAGGAATCGTTTCTATCAGATTGTTTTCAATATAAAGATACCAGATCCGTGATGGGATGTCAGGGATTTCTTTAAGACCTCGATTTTCACAGTAGAGAGCAGTAGGGAAACTGGGAGGACAGAAACATTCCCTGGGACACATGAAATCATCCACAGCCCAATCTTCAGGCTCATTCATGTCATGAACCTGCCTCACACTCCGAGCACATACTAGTTCAGCTATGAGCAATGCCCAGATGCTGAAATACATAGCGGCTGCCATGATCGTGCCTAGAATAAAGGGATAAAACAATTAAATGATAGATGACCTTGACTTTAGTTAAATGTATGAATCAAAATACTCAGCACACATTGCTTCTCTTAGAGAGAGCCAAAGTAGTTTTAATTTATTTTATAGATTATGTATAGATATCCATGATCACATATATGTTTAGTAAGCACAATGGGCAAATCATTTTTGCAAACACTGGAACTGATTGACCATGTTTAACTCAGTCACAATAAAAATGGAGAAATAGAAAATTTTAGCAGCTATGAGTATCTTGCTATTGCAAGCTATTTAATGCAAGGGAGTTAAACTGAAACCAGTAATGAGTACTTAAAATCATCGTTTAACAGTTTAAATTGACAGTCTGTGTTAGTCCTAAAATACCGGGGTGTGTTTTTACTTTGGCACTGAAGTAAGCATAACATCTGGATGGCATTTCTCAGGACCTTGGGCCCTTGAACCAAAGCACTAGAGAGATCAAAGAACATCTTTTAACAGTTTGTTATGGAGGAAGGTTCTAAGATCTGAAACAAAGTGTGTGATTCATCTTGCATTCTATTGCTCTACTTCTCAGGTAAGTTCCATTTTCAGGGAGAAAGTTTTCTAATATTATATGGACAGAATCAAGTGGTTCAATCCTGGAAATTAAATTATAAACTCTATATATGTATACATAGATCTCATAATTGCATAGGTAATGCATTTAACTGTGGTATTATTGTGGTTGGTTAAAAAATAAACAAAATGACATGTTTAAGATAGAGATAAAGCTTCCTTGTTTTCAGTATTATTCTTGCTATTAGTTGCTTTTGAGTTGACTGATTAATAAAAAATAATTGATCAACACAAATTGACAATTAATACATTTAAAAGATACAACAGCCCCCTCCAAATAACATCAAAGTTACACATTAAAAGAATTATCGTAACGCAGGACAAACTGCAAATAATAACATTCTTATCAACTTGCATTTAATTCAACTACTGGATTGGACATAATAAGATTTATGGATTCCTTATGAAAAATGAAGTCAGCAAAATGCTGACTTTCAGTTTTGTTACTTGTATTTCTGAAAACGACACGTGCAGTGTTGCTTCCACAAGCTGTCCAATTGCCTACAATTGCAGCATGGCCAACTTTCAATAGAGGTGCATTCAAAAAAGAAAAAAAAAATCAGAATAGGGATTTGCTATAGGTATTGCGTTTGCAGCCCTATCTCTGATGAAACAGACTTTCACATTCTTAACTTGAAGAGTTTTTAAAAGTGCGAAAATAGTTTACCTTGCTCTCCAGAAATATACCGTTGAGTCCTGTGTCTGGGTCTGAAGTATGCTAAAAAATCAGAAAAGAGATAAAACTTTGAAAACTTTTCTTTTATTGCATGTTCTCAAGTCTCCTAATAGACAAAGTAAAACCTGCCCTGACCCGTTAGCAGAAACACCTTTGGATGTATTGTTTCTCCTTTGACAGGCTGCAGAAGACAGCCTACCTCAGCTTTCCTGGATCTTCTTCTTGCCCTCCTATTGGTCACTGCTTGCTCACAGTAATAATATGACCCAAGTTCCACTGTCGTATTTTTATGAATCCTCCCTAATATATGAGCACCAGTGACTCCACTTTAACCCCCCAACAACCACAGTACCTCAGTACCTAGAGAGCCAAGTGCTGGAAATTCTGAATGTAATCTTCAGCATTTACAACAATTCAAAGCATTTCCCCCTCAATATTAACAGTTTCAAAGATATTGCATTGTACTGCTATATAGATCTAATCTACCAGCAGGTAACTAAGGACAGTATTGATTTTATGTATAACAAAAAGATTTTAAGGCATTTTTCTCTGGATGACTTAAAAAATGAATTCAAGGAAATAAAGGCCAACCTTCTCTGTTTATATGGAAATATTTTATTCATTTCTGATGCAAAACAGATGCTGGAATGCTATTTAAATATATTATGTTTGACTGAGAGTAAAAGATGGAAAATTATAATTTCAGAATAAAAATGTTCAGGCTAGGAAGCTTTGCTTGATGTTAACAGTAAACCTAGTGTTATGCTTTGTTTGGTAGAAATAATTATTTTATCTCTGTTCAGTACTGAATGCTTTCTTTCCAAATAACTTTTAAATGAGTGCTATTTTTTCCTCATCATAAAATGACACATGTTTTGAATTTAGTCCAGTACAAGACATTATGTGGCATTCTATTCTTTCTTTAGCCCAGAAATCTAAGATAATGTGTCTTCCAGCTCTTAAATGTGTGGAAATATTTGTTATGTCTCTTGAGAAAAGATGCATATACAAAAACACATTTTAAAATATTATTATTAAAGATGTTATATACTGTTGATTAAAATAATCATTTTTTCTTCTAAAATGTACTCTATTCTGGTATCACAGAGTTTAATTTATATATTATATTTCATATAAGTATTATCAAACAGGTTATAGTCCTGAGGTCAGTGAAGAGGTTATAAACCTGGAGTCTGAGAATATTTTCTAAAAGGCCCCTCCACCTTCTGACAATAAGCAAGTCCATCAGAGTCTCTGAAGTTCAGTTAAGTCACCCATAAAATAACAATGGTTCTACCTCATGTGTTGGCCCTACATTGTCTTAAATGATTATGTTATATTATAACATATGAAATATTAGCCCTTCTTTCACATTAGGCCTATAATCTCAATTGGACAATATTTAAGTTGAAATATTTTTATAGATTGTTTACTTATTCCTAATCTCTTAGGAGTCCTATAGGCTTTAAGAATGCAGCCAAATTCCATGATGCACACCTTCCCGACATGATCACTGAAGACAAATATGTGCATAAGCAAATGTGGTGAAGAAAGCTGATGGTTCCCGGTATCAAAAGGTATAGATAGCATCTGGGTTCTTAAAGGCTTGTAGGTAAACAAGCAGGCATCTGACTCAGAAGCAATAAAGCCCACATGGAAGAAGTGCACCAGCCTGTGT